GTTCATATATTTTAATAGGGTTTTGGCACTTTATTGAGGAATTACTACATACATAGTCGAACTGAACTTGATATTTTGAAATTTAAATTATTTATCAAAATTAAAATTTAACTTGAAATTTATAATTATTTAGTCATATTTTGCATAATTCTAAGTAGATTTTGTAAAAAATCAAGAAAGAAAAATTTTAACGTGCTTTATTTTTTCTTTTTTATAATAATACATATTATTATATAATTAACATATTCATAATGTTTCACCCTTTCAAAAATATAATCCTCCTCCTCTCAAATAAACGTACATACGGGTGGCCTCTTTTTTCAAAAAATTAAAATTTGAAATTTTGGGCTCAAATATTAGAGATTTTTTCAACCTTCAACGATATATGTTGTCTATATCAGACCTCCTTTCTTTTTGATACTTAACATTGTTCCTAAATCTTAGCCGTTAAGGCTGTTCTGAAAATATTTTTTTTTCGAAAAAATTCGAAAAAAATTCTTAAAATTCAAAAATCCCTTAATTCCTGAAGATTTTGGAAAAAAGTTTTTACATGAACATGTGTATATTATATGAAGTATATTGATAAGGTAAAAATCAAATTTTATTGCATATTCATCGAGAAAATAAACTAACGAATCCCTCAAAATTGAGAGGGTAATCCTCCTCCTCTCAAATAAACGTACATACGGGTGCACCCTTAAGAAGCTAAATTCTGAAGTTTACATGATCCTCTCGTGTGCACCCTTAAAAAATGCAAAAAAATTGAATACTTTACTGGCTGGGCAAATTTGTCGCCGCCCCAAATATCTTAAATATGTTTTATTGAATTTTATTTTTTCACTCCCTGAGAAAATTTTATGGCAAAATCGAATCATTTATATCACATCTATTTAAAGTGTAGTAATTGGGCTTCTGTAATTCCGTATACGTTTAAAATTTAGAAGTTGATAAATACGCTACTTAGCGCTTCATTCAGTGGATGAATATGCTAGATTTAGTGATTACCTTCTAAATAAAGGTTATTACCGCTATAAAAAGTGATTCAACACTGATTTGGAGATATTTTTTTTTAATTTTCATTAATTTTCTATCAATTAGACCGAATTTCACCTGAAATTCGTTTAGTAGCCAAGTACCTAGTCTTTTAAAGTAAAAAGACTCAAATCGAAGATAATTTTTTTCTCAAAATGTTTTTAAGAAGAAAATAATAGCGAATCAATAATAAGAATCCTCTGGTACCTACCAATACACAGGATTTTTCAAGCAATTTCAAAGTCGAAATTGAATGCGCTCTCAATTTTTTTCGATTTTTTAAAATCTTAATAAACAATATCTATATAGTAATATTTTTTCTAGTATTCAAATTACTCTTCAGAAAATTGAGATACCCCTATGATGGCCTTTTTAGGTGAGGTGACGCCTAATTGAGAGGGTCTCCCCCAATTTTGAATTCAGACCCCGTCACCTAATTACGATACCACTATATATAGAGGACAACACCCACACTTTTTAAATTATGAAATTACAGTAAATTAGCATCCTGTATTTATATTTTTTATGACTTAATTTTGATAGTTTTCGTTCAGAAATTATAATCATATTTTAAGTAAACATATATTAGTATTCTTCATTATTTGTTTGCCGCTTTGCGCCAACTAAATAGTGTATAATTCAATTTTTTCAAAAAATTATTTAATTTGGCCGAAGGTGGCGTACTTGCCCGAAGGGCAAGCGAAGCCACCTGAGGCCCCAAATTATATTTGATCAAATATATATCTTAGCACTGCAGATCAATAAATCACATGATATGCTTGTTTTTGCATTTTTAAAATGTATCAACAAGTTTCATTATAAATCTCTCTTAAATAGGAACTTGTTATCAATATAGAGCTATGATACTTCTCAATTTATGCGAAATATTTTCCTTCATCTATCGGCGCGTAGCGCCGCTAGATGATATATATATAGTGATTGTCTGTTGCTGAAACATAAAATGATTAAGAATCAAAAACCATTTCTAAAAATGTATTTTTTAAGACTTATTTTTGATAGTTTTCACTCAAAAATTTTCATCATATTTGAAATAATATCATATTCTTAATCTGAGCTATTTGATTGGCGCTTTGCGCCAATCAAATAGCGAAGAAAATGACTTTTCAAAATATTTATTAATAATTTATCATCAAAAGTCAAAAATCAATTAGAGATTATTATATTACAACAAATTATGAATCGTAATTCGTTAAAATAATTTTGCCGAACAAACAACTAAAGTTGTTCTCAAAATTTTATTAGCGGCGCGAATAGACAAAAGTGTCTGAAAAATTGAGAAAAATGCTTTATTTTCATTTCACATTTTCATCATTTCTTAACCAGACTTTTCAATCAAACTTCTAATGCATCACATTGAACTAATGACTTATTGGAGTGCCAGTCTACTTTAAAAGATTCTTAATATGTTCATGTAGTTTCAATTTAATTTTAAAAATTCTAAAATTTTAGATTTTAATCTCTAGCAAGTTCTTTGTCATCATATACTTAATTAGTCTTTAGCTTTACAGCTCCTAAATATCATTATAAATTACAAAATTTCGAATTTAATACTCAAATCAATATCTATGATCGCATCGATATCAAATTACTAAATAAAACTATTAGATTTTCAAATATATTACAATTTTTTGATATAGCTTAGACCTATTCTTCATTTGTGAACCAAACTTCAGCTCCAATTTTGTCAATTATCACGCCAATCTAATGTCTTACCGAAGTGTATTCATTTCACAACAAATTCTTAATAAATTCTTTGCTTTCAATATTTCATTTGAAAAATTTCTAAAATCTCAAATTGTTCTCTAAATTACTTCGATTTAGCTAAAAGTCTATCTTATATTTTACATAATAATCTTTAAAATATAATATTAATCACTCACAATTAAATTTATTTGTATAAACTCATTTCCTATAATCATAATATATTTATTTTGCCGAAGTTGGCTAGGCTTGCCCTTCGGGCAAGCCTAGCCAACTGAGTCCCGAAATTATATTGTTGAAAAATTTTTTGGAACGCGCGGTTTTTCAGAAAAAATTGAATTACCACCATTCAAATAAAAATATCGTATTTGATCTAATATAAATAGAGATTTATCATTCTTATACAATAAGGTATGTTTTTTAAAATAAATTATCTCTATCTGTGAACTTAAAATTCTCATCACAATATTGACAATCCAAAAGGCATTCGAGTCTAAAGAATAAAAATTAAATTTCCTAAATAAAGTATTTATCATTCTATTTCGTTCTTTTGGCCCATTGTAATTTTGAAACAAATAATCAAGAAATTTAATTAAAATTTAATATGAAATCATTAGATAGTTGTTATTACTATAACAATTCTATTATTTAAATACGAAATTTTTATAAATTAGTTTATATCAAATAGTAATTGATATCATTTTAAAGTATAAATGCTCATATATGGTTTTATTCTAGTTTTATACAATTTCTCATTGTTGACGATGACAAATTCGGCATCAGTGTGGTTTCATCCCGAATTTTTTATAAATAATTGAATAATAACAGCCTTGAATATCCCATATCCCTATGTTATTATAAATTATGCGCGAGTACACAGTTTTTAATCGCAATATTCCAATTTGATTAAAGAATTTGTTTTTTATCCTCATATCTATTATTCACATATGAAACATTTCGATTATTTATCATGTTTCTAGAATTTTATACTTGAATGAAAAGATCGATATTGGCCGTTTAAAAATTCTCATAATTTTTTTCTTTCATGCTAATGTTGAGGATTGTGTCATCAAAACATGAATTTTATCTATAACTACAGTTGTAAAAAAGTATTTCACGCTCAGAAAGTGAAAATATTCAACTTTTCAATAAATGCAATAATCTTCAGAAATCTTGTGAACGAAATTGATGATATAATAAACTACTATGCTACACATCAAATTTATTTTTGTTGGAGAATAATAAAAAATCTCAATATTTCGAAATGAGAGCTTCTCCTCAGAAAATTGCTAATCAAATTGTTGCTATATTATTGATTGATGTAATACATTAGCACAATTTTTAACATTAAAACTGGCGAAATTCTAATATTCGCGAAAAAGTTTTCCCCTCAGAAATTTTTAATTGCATTTTTTATATAAAATTCTATAAGACACATATAGTTGATTCTAATTTTATTTGTGTATCACCAAAATAACGAACTGAAAAAATTTGAAGTCTTTAAATCGTCTTGTTTCCTATTCCAAAAGAATGCTGTTGTTAGACTAAACAATTATTTTTTATTTAAACTAAAATTATGAATTGAATAGGTCAAAAATAGGAACGCGATTTTTGGGCTAAAATTCAAAAGTTTACAAAAAATTGAGAGGTTTTTCCTCTCAATTTGCTTTTCGCGTCTCAATTTGTGTCCCTAGTATATTATATCAAATTTGATTTCTTACCTAAAGAATTGTTGCATGTTTATACATTCACCCTACAGATTATTACACTTTATTTAATTCATTCTGACAAAAAGCTTCATGACATGCTTGTTTTTTAATAAACTTTGTATTGTTTCCAATGATGCTTTAAATTCTAAGTATTTTAAAATTTGATTTTAAGCTTAGATTCCATAAAAGAACATTAAAATTGTAAAGGTTCGAGGAAAAACGACTCGTTTGAGGGTAATTTTAGAAACAAAAAAATAGAAAATCCAGTATACTTGTTTACGACAAATCAATTTTTCCTCAAAGTTTTATTTCATATTATCCACTTATTTGAGACGATAGAAATTTGTGAAATTTTCTAAATTTCATTTTTATTTTGCATAATTACAGCCATTATTCACTTTTTACATTTTTTTTTCAATAGTATTGAAAAATTCAATTTTTTAATGATGTAAAAAAATGCGAAAGGAGAATATATCAGCTCCTATTGCTTTTGATTTAAAAATGATCATTTTGAATTTTTTTTCCTTACATTCGAAAATGTTTTTACTTTTTCTTCCTATCTTAAGTCATCAAGAAATTCAATGTGAGCAAATTACATCTCTCCTCAAATCTGATGAAGAGAATTCTCTAACTTGTTCTGGATTATCTCCTGAAAATACTTATCAAATAAAATTATCATCAGATCATACAAGTTCAACATTAGATACTACCTTTGAAAGTCCAAATACTTTGAAATTCAGTATTACGAACCCAGATGAATTTACACAAATGTACTTAATTGATCAAGATTCCGAAATATTTATACAAAATATTAAAATTGATGCGAAGCCAACAGTTAAAGATGTTGGTACTAATAATAAACAGCCATTTTTAGGCAGATGGATTGAATACACTTATGAAATTAAATTTGGATCCTCCTACACTGGAAGTGGAGAAGATAAATATGAAGTAGCCATTATAAACAGTCCAACTGAAAGCGAAAATTCCTTTACAGACTACAAAGTAATACTTAAAAATGCAAATGATAAAAATTACTTTTTCATTCCAAAAACTGTAACGCCTGGTGAAAATTTCCTTCTATTTCGCTTCCATTTAGTCAATGGAGAAACAGATACTGTCAGTAAAACATTCATACCGCCTATCCATGTTTTAATTCCAAAGGTTTCTGACAAAATTACTGCAGAAAAAACGTCAACAAGTATGTTTTTCGATGAAAGTAATACAGAAATAAATTTCGGTGTATATTGTACTCCTTCGGTCTATAGTTTTAAAGTTTATTACAAAATAGGTTCATATGAAGATACATTGTTTGGTGAGTATGAAGGTTTAGTTACAGATCCAATTTATATAGAATCATCAATAAATATACCAACAGATCTAACAGAAGTTCAAGAGAAAGTAACTTTTATTATGAAAGATACCGCAACATCACAAATTTTAGCTTATACAGAATACACAGATCTTATAATTGTTCCAAAGTTCGAAGTTGAAAATATTACATTAGCCAATCATAATATGATTTCGGATTACTATGTATTGCATAATCAAGAACCTATTACTGGAACAGTTACATTCAAAAATGAAGTTGCTTTTGACTATCTCATTTTACATTACAAATTAAAACGCCAAACTCTTAAACCTTTTGGTAAATCAAAAAGAAACTTCTTCTTCATTGTTCAATTAGGTGATATTCGATCCGAAAATTTGATTACCCTTAATTTCGAACAAAATAACGTCTTTAAAAATGGATACATAACATATAAATATGTTGAATTTACGTATTCTGTTAAATACTTTAAAAAAGATGAACAAAGAAAAGGAACTTTTTACGTAAAGCACAATATCCCGACTGAGATAAATATTGGTGGAAGATTTTATGAAAGTTCTACGATTGCAAATAATTATTTACAAATAATTAAGAACGCAGGTCAAGATTCCGCTGTTTATTTGGAAAATACTTGGCTCGGATATAGTAGTGATGTTGGTGGGATTCCATCAAAAATTTCTTTCGCGGTAATTATAGAGGACAAAGTTATAATATCAAAAGAATTTGATATTTATTGCTTTTCAGATTTTGTATGGGGGATCAATTCGATAACTGACCTCAACAGCGCACCCACTTACAAAATAGGATCAAGAAAGTTACTGAAATTAGAATTCTCTGAGTTAATAAATCTTGATGATATAACGTTCAGATATAAATATAAACCGACACAAAATGATTATTTCCGAGATCTTAAAATAGAATATCTGATACGTGTTCCAAATACCGAAAATGAAACTATTCTTTCATTTTTACTTCCAAGTCCAGATACAATCGGCCAAAATACGTTTATATTACAACCACGTGTTCCAGGGGTAAATGGATATAGTGACCAGATTTATTTAACAATTGAATCAGAATTGGAAATAACACATAGTTCAATCAATTGCAGAATGACAGAAGATTCATATGGATATGGACAAACTCTGTTATTCAAATGTAACATTTATGATATTGAAGAATTACCAATAAAATATAAGGCAAAGATAGGAAATCATTATTCCAAGGAGGTACCGCACAATACAATCTTAATGTGAGAATGGAAGCAGTTGGCAACGAAAATGAATATATTGCTTATGTAGAAAATCCAGCCCAAACTGGAGAGCAAATAACAATTTCTATTGCAATGATGAAAGAATATTATGGATCATCACTCCAATTAGTAGATTATTCTGAAATAACAAATATCAAAATATGTCCCACCCCTGATATCATTGTAAGTTCGCTTAATTCTTATCCAGAACTATATTCAACAGCAGCTCTTGGCTTCAAACTCAACTATATTTGTGAATTCAGTACAATGAAAGTACAATATAAGATGTCAGATGATGGGGATTACGAAGATGCAATATCAGTATCTAGTTTAGATAATTACAATATTTTCTCAGTAACAGTAAAATTACCAAAAACAAGAATTTATTTCAAATTTATTGACAAGTTTAATAATTCAAAAACAATAAATTATTATTTAGATCCTACAATATTTACATATGTTGAATATGATTGTGCCATTCAAGATCAAAAGGAAGAATACCATGGAGGAGATGAAGTTAACATCAAATGTACTGCAAAATCTCCAAGATTAGCTTATTCAATACATGAATTTTATTTCTTAGATTATTCTACATATGATCAATATAGATTAATGGCATCTTCTTCAGAAACTTCTGTTGAATTCTCAGTTACTCTTCCTGAACCAAAATCATCTTATCCTGTTTCACTTATCACAATATGTCAATCCATAAAATCAGATCCATCAATATCAATATACAGTTTTATTCCCATTAAAATCATTCCAAATTTCAAATTTGATTTCGATATTATATCAATGGACCAATCAAGTTTGAATATCTTGGTGAAATTGTACTTTAATTATCAAATGAAGTATAGTGTGAATTACGTAATATCGAACAGCAAAGTATATGAGAATTCTACTTTTACAACACTACAAGAAAATGTTTTTGGCACACCACATACATTTAGTATTCCACACAGTTTAGAATCAGATTATTATTTTGTTGGAATTTTACTAATATTTGAAAATTCTAAACAATGTTTTGCTACAAAAGAAATAAATTACATCGATGATAAAGTCTCATTAAGCAGGGTTGGCCATCACACAATAACTGCTGGTATATATGAGGTTAAGAAAGGATTCACAGTTTTACTCCAGCCACCAATTAAAAAGACAAAGACCGTTGTTTATGCAAAAATAGGAGAAGATAAATATACATTACTTAAGAATAATGTTATTGGCATTACCTTCAATGAAACCGGCTCTATTTATCTAGATGGTAAAGCAAGTATTCAAACCATTGTTATGTCAATAACTAATATTAAAACAGATGAAATTATGTTTTTGCTTGGAAGAAGCGAATTACGAATTGGAAATATGGAAAATGTCCAATTTAATATGAATAGTTCTAAAAATTATTTATTTGTTCTTTCATCATTTGATGGAAAAGGCAAATCGAGAATGGATGGAGATGTCAATACAGAATCATTAGAAATTGAAAATTACTATGCTGATGGCACATTGGTAGTTAATGAAGAATCATCAAGGAAGTTATTGGCTGCTTCTTCAAAACCAGATAATATTAACATTTATTCAATGCAAATTCATAATGATGAGTACAAGTTCAGTTATAAATTCAAAACAATGAGATCAAGAGATAAAACAACAGTAATAATTCATTCAAAGTTAGGTACTCATTACCTCGCTACAAAACCTGATTCATACACAGGAGATGAAGAACCTACTCCTACACCAGTTCCTGTTTCTGATGACTCCCAAAAAGGAGGAGCTAGTCCAGCAAAAATAGCTGGTGGAATTGTTGGAGTAATTGTTGTTATTGCAATTGTTTGCGTTGTCGTCTTCTTTGTCTGGAGAAAGAAGAAACAAGCAAAATACAATGACTCAGAAGAAGGTGATATTCATTCAGATTCATCTTATAGCAACAAATCAGCTTAATGTATTTCTTTTAAAACTTTTTTTCTTAATAATAAACATATAATTTTGAAACAATATATACAATCAAATATTTCTTTCCATATGAGAAAGAATAATAAATTATTGAAATATTCTTACTATTCAGTTAGAGGTTATAGAGAAAATGCATAAAAAACTACACTAGAAAAGAACTTCTCCAATATCATTGATAGATATTGTAATAATATAAATTTCAATTGTTAATTTCTATGAAGCTTGCCATTCAGCTTATCACAATTCTACTACTAATCTATAAAACTACTAAATATTCGTTTTAATGTTCAAATGCTTTTATCTTGCCTATTTTTCCTATCCTATTCTCTTTCAAAGGCTGACTTTTACGAATCATTCGAATCAGAAAATTCAATGAATGGCTGGATATCGACAAAGGCACCGGATTATAATGGCGTTTGGTACTTTGATAATAAGACTAAAGCATTATCAATGGCCACTTACGCAACAAGATATGCCATTACAAAGAAATTCAGTAACCCAATCATTTTAAATGACAAAGATTTTATAATTCAGTTCGAAGTCGAACCGACCACAACAATTGATTGCACAGGAGGATATTTAAAGCTATACGGCAATAAAAATCTCAATGAAAGAGATGTTTCGAACCAAACAATGTATACATTAATGTTCGGACCTGATAGATGTCAAGATTCAAACTCTATTCACTTTATTATCAAGCACAAAGGTATCGAAAAAAGTCTTAAAATTCCACCACACTCTAATTTAGGCAATAAAACACACTTATACTCATTAGTTGTTCGAAAAAATAATAACTTTGAAACTTTCATCGATAATGATAAAGTTCGAATCGGAAATTTCTTTACAGATTTCTATCCTCCAATCAATATTCGCGAAATACCAGATCCAGCAGACAAAAAACCAAAGGATTGGGTTGATGATGAATATATAGTTGACGAAACCGCAAAGAAACCAGAAGATTGGGATGAAGACGAGCCAGAATTTATACCAGATCCATCAAAAATCGATCCTCCCAAAGGATGGCTCCTAAACGAACCGAAAACAATCCAAGACAAAAATGCTAAGAAACCAGACGATTGGGATGAAGCTGTTTTCGGCCAATGGGAAGCTCCGCAGATCTCCAATCCCAAATGTGACAAAGCTCCAGGTTGTGGTCCATACGAAGCACCACTAATTCTCAATGAAAAGTACAAAGGAAAATGGGAACCTCCTCGTTACAGAAATCCACTTTACAGAGGTCCATGGAGACCAAGGATGATTTCAAATCCTGATTACGTAGAAGACAAACATCCAGCGAACTTCGGAGAGATATGGGCAGTTGGATTTGAGCTTTGGGCCGTGACTCCTTCTCTTTCTTTCCGAAAGATTTTGATTGATACAAATAATGTTGACGAAATTGTCAATGAAATGGATCAGAAACAGAAGAAAATGGTCCAACAAAAGAATGAAAACGAAGAAATTAAATTCAATCCTGTTTTGAATTTCGAAGATTTGAAAAACATTGACAACAAATTGCCATTCTTTGAAGATCTTGTGAATTCGTGGTCGGAATTCTACAAGAAAGACAAAGGAATGGCTATTAGCATGCTTTTGACAATGATCATTACACCAATCTTTGGATATTATATTCATAGAAAATTTTTCTAATTTTATAGACTTTCTTGTTACTTGTTTAAATATATAAAACTTTCTATAGATTATTTTTAAATATATTCTTTATTTTGACAAATTTGAAATCTTCATTATTCATTTTAAGTGTTTGAAAATATATTAATGGGCTCTTAAGCCCTTCTGACTTTAATTCATATTTTTATCAACAAATTAAACTAAACTTCTCCATAAATGAAATGGAAAAATATTGTTATATATATATATACTATTCATTTCATTGGTAAATCTATGTGATAGATTTAGTCAAACATCCACTTCACAAGTTGGATCAAATGAATCGAACTATTTGTACAGCATTCTTGTATAAAAAAGATTAGGATAATTATCGACTAGTTAGCCAGTAACTTTATATCTCAGTTCTAATATTAATAGCACAAAATGAGCGAAAATATATCCATTTTGTGTTATCATTTATCAAATTCATCACAAAGTTCTATAGCTTAGTTTATATTGAGGAGTTATCATGATAAGAAAAAGCATAGTTTACATTAGTATGAAAACATACAAATAGTCTTTTTTGAACAAAGAAAAGTAACAAATTTGACAAGTTTTTGGTATAAATACGGAGTATATATATTTAATATTAGATTTTTGGAATGTAGTAGATATAAACGAATTAGGTCCTATATAAGGCAAGTTTTGTCGAAAATATCTGAATATTATGACCTCTTCAATCACATCATAGTTCTGACATAGAAATTCAGCAGATAAATCTACTACAGAGTCAGGAATATAAATTTTTTTCAAATACCTTGCTCGGTTAAATGCCCCAAAACCAAAACGTGTAACTGTATTAGGAACCATATATATTGGAATATTTAAATAAGTCGGAAAACTGTATAAAATTGTCATGTCTTTGGAGAACAATATTCCATCAACAGAACAAAAATATAGGTTTTTTGGGTCAACATCAATATATTCTATTAGTCCCATATCAAATGGATTCTGTTCACCTAATTTTCGAACTCCTTTTGGTATGAATAAATATTTAATTAAAGAAATAAAGTCAAATCCTCCATCATCAATGGTTTCAAGACTTTCTGGAAGAGTTATATTTTGTAAGTTTGGAAATTTTGGAAATAAACTAGACGGAAGATGTGTAAAACCTTCATTAATAATGATATACTTTATTGGCGTATAATTTATATTATTTGGAAGGGAAACAGTTGTATCCCCTTCAAATGGGATCTTAAGTGTGTCATTCAATGATTAATAAATCTCGTTGGTGTTATTTGTATCAAAATACTCTTAAAATTTGAATTATATAACGTTTTTCTACAGATGATATTCCATTTTTTGATTGTTGAAAATTACTTAATGTGATTCATTAAGTGAATGAATGTTTTTTTAAATTATATCCAGTCAAAAATTATTTTATAAGACAAAATTTCGAGTTTGAATGAAACTTTACAAAATAAGGAAAATAATATAATGAGCACTAGGAAGTATTAAATATTTGTGCATCAAAACAATGAGACTAATCTTCGAATCCTATCCTAGTGACAAAGAATTATCAATAGCGACATACACAACAAGATATGCAATTACAAAGAAATTCAGTAACCCAATCATTTTAAATGACAAAGATTTTATAATTCAGTTCGAAGTCGAACCGACCACAACAATTGATTGCACAGGAGGATATTGAAAGTTCCAAAAATGCAGTAGGAACCTATTGTTAAAAATACACGATTCATTTCATTGGAAAAATCAAGTGATGGATTTATAAAAATAAACATTCACTTAAATAATATAAACAACAATTTTCACATGTTGGATCCAATGAATTGAGCAATTTCTACAGAAAATTTGTAGAAACATATTTAAGATAATTTTCGACTCACTAGAATATATGTCTCAGTCCTCATTACCATACCACAAATTGAGGAAAAATCTGTTTAATTTATTATCATTCATCAAATTCATTACAAAGTCATATAGCTTATTTTATATTAAGAATGATCGATATAAGAAAAAGCATAGTTTACATTAGTATGAAAACATACAAATAGTCTTTTTTGAACAAAGAAAAGTAACAAATTTGACAAGTTTTTGGTATAAATACGGAGTATATATATTTAATATTAGATTTTTGGAATGTAGTAGATATAAACGAATTAGGTCCTATATAAGGCAAGTTTTGTCGAAAATATCTGAATATTATGACCTCTTCAATCACATCATAGTTCTGACATAGAAATTCAGCAGATAAATCTACTACAGAGTCAGGAATATAAATTTTTTTCAAATACCTTGCTCGGTTAAATGCCCCAAAACCAAAACGTGTAACTGTATTAGGAACCATATATATTGGAATATTTAAATAAGTCGGAAAACTGTATAAAATTGTCATGTCTTTGGAGAACAATATTCCATCAACAGAACAAAAATATAGGTTTTTTGGGTCAACATCAATATATTCTATTAGTCCCATATCAAATGGATTCTGTTCACCTAATTTTCGAACTCCTTTTGGTATGAATAAATATTTAATTAGAGAAATAGTGTTGAAACCAGAATCTTCAATGGACTCAAGACCTTCTGGAAGAGTTATATTTAGTAAATTAGGAAACCTTGAAAATAAACTAGTTGGAAGATATGTAAAACCTTCATTAATAAAGATATACTTTATTGACGCATTATTTATATTATTTGGAAGGGAAACAGTTGTTTTCCCTTCAAATGGGATCTCAAGTGTGTCATTCAATTATAAATAAATCTTGTTAATGCAATTTTTCTAAAAATGTTCTTAAAATTTGAATTGAATATCAAATAGTGGTTGAGAAATCGAATTGAATTAAAAATAATCGTTTTTCAAAAAATGGTTTTCCATTTTTAGATTGTTAAAATTGATTATTATGATCTATTAAGTGACTGAGGGATGAGTTTTTTAAAATGATATCCACTCAAAAATTATTTCATATGATAAATTTCGTGTTTGGTTGGAACATACAGGATAAATAACAAATACATAAGAAGGATAATATGTAGACCACTACAAAATAATAAATAACATACTTTGTAAATATTGGTGCACAATATCAAGGCAATGAGACAAATATTCATATATAATATTAGTAGCAAGACGTCCGCCATTCATATGATATGAAATCTCTTTAGTTTATAAGTGGTCGAGGAAAATCTGAACACTTTTTATCCGTTAAAAAATTGGTTCATTTTCATGGAAGATCAATCTAAGGGTACAGTTAAATTAGATCAGCATCTTCAGGAATTACTTAGATTCATCAAAGAAACTAATGCTAAGAAAAGGATTGAAGGTTTCAACGAGTTGGCGAAATTAACAATCTTTCCGACCTTAGTACCAAGTATTGACTATTTTATTGCAGAAATTCTTGTTCAGGTAATCCAGCGCTCTAACGATCAGTACGATTCTGTGCGTGTTGCCTGTATGAATTGCTTATTTACGTTAATAAAGCAACTTGGCACTAAAAATTTCGACAGTGTATTAGCAACAGTACTTCCAACATTGTTCAACCGTATCAAATCCGAAAACTGCGAAGAAGTTCTCGTTGCAATTCTTAATATTCTTGTTTATTTTGTTGACTTAACAGGTGTAGAAACAGTTCCTTCGACATGGGATGAGTACGCACGCCCAACAATCATCGCTTTAGCTACATCATGTGCTTCAAATGCCCCAGATGTCAAATTATTATCAGCCCAGATTCTCGAAACCATGTGTGGCAAGATTGCTCGCTCAATGTACAGGGAAGTATACGATTTGGAAGCAGAAGATGAAGCAAAACAAAAAATAAATTACTCAGAAGCTTTAATTAATGCACTTCTCAAGAACATTGTCCACAGAAACAAGGACATTAGGAAGCAAACTCTCCAAGCGTTAGCCAAATTTTACGTAATTACAACCAGCGAATACAAATTCGATTCTATTGCCACTTTACTTGAACAAATGATCGACGACAGGATTCTTTCCGTCCGTCTTGCTGTTGTAGACTATGTTAAAACACTCCTTGTCCAACATGACAACAGACATATGTATTATTCCCAATATTTACCGATTCTTCTTACTTCGATCTACAGTTTAGTCCCTGTTCGCAAGATTACAGAGGATGAAGTCGTCAAACAGCCAGAAGTAACAAAGCAAGCCTATCAAGCTTGGAAAGCTCTTGACGCCATTGGAAAACAGCATGAGGTTGACAAGAAGGACGATTACGCTCAAGAAAAAGAATACATTGGCCCGACAGATTTCGATGAAAAAAGAAAAATTTGTGTTGGACTTCGCCATATCCTTCAAGATAACTACAAACAGATGATGGACCATCTCATTCCAAAGCTCATCGAGTGGACAGAGCAAATCAGAGTCTTCGGGCTTCGCGCTGTTGCATCTTTGATTCAATTGACCGGCCAATACTCCGTAAAGACTGTTGTTGACGTCATGAAGACTCTTGGACAGTCAATAAAGACAATCCGTGGCGATCAGGAGTTCGCAATGCGCGTTGCTGCAATTTTGGCATCAAATGTAAACGAAGACGATTTAATTGCTCCTATCGTATCTAATTTCACAAATGAGGGACCACGAGAGATCGTTTTGTTGTTACAAGTTGCTCTTGTAAATGCAAAATTTTCTGATGGTGGTTTGGCTTCAATTATCGATGGAATTAATAACAACAGAGTATTTGATGCTCTTGATTGTATTAATAACCTCGCTGAAGCCGTTTTGGCCCTTATTGTCCACGCAAATGAGAATTTCAGAGATGTTAACAGTAATATCATTCTTATAACAATTCTCAGGATCGGCGAGAAAGGTGATGCAATGCATTACTTCGAGAACTGCTTCGGAAGACCTTTGGCCACTGTTTTCAGCGAACAAATGCAAAATTTGCTCAGAGTTACAGATAAAAGCTCCGGATACCTCAGCAAATTGTTGCTTAAAGTTCCACCATACGCTATCCAGAACAATCTTAGAGATGTTTGCCAGGCAATTTGCGAATCAATTGCACAATCAGAACAGGAAGGCACAAAAGAGCTGATGGACCTTATCACTACATTATGCTACAAAGGAGCAATCACAGATATCACGGAACAGCTCTTTGATTTGGTTATTAACAAGATGGAATGGAGTATTGGAAAAGAAAACGTTCCACCACGTGAAGCAGCCACATTGGCCTTGGCCGCATTACTTAAATCAGACGCAATCACTCAAGAACGTTGTGATGAGAGCCTTGATAAGATTTTACCAGCAGTTTTATCAGCTCTTGATGATTCATGGTCTGATCCAGTCAGAGTTGCAGCCATTGCACTCGCTAGAGAGTTTATCGCTAAATCCAACAAATTAAATACAAAATTCAGCGAAATTTACAAGGCAATCAGAGAAAGAATGGACGACCACGTTCTCTCTGTCAGAGTTAACGCTGTTTCCCTCATGGCTGACTTCCTTGTTAAGTGTTCTCAAACAAAGGACCAAATTCCAGCAGAAACACCAGCAACAACAGAAGAAGAGAAGCCTAAAGATGGAGGAGAGAACAAGGATAAGAAGAAGGAAGAAATTCCTGTGAAATATGAAGATATTCCGAAGAAATTCGAAGATTTACTTGTATTTATCGATGATATGGTCAAAGAAGTTAGAGAAGCAATGGAGATATTCTGTGAAAGAGTTGGCTCCGTCGAAGAGTGGAAAGAACCACTTTCTACAACTTTGAAATCAGTTATTCAGAATAATAACCATGATGATGCCACAGAACTCGCTAATAAGGCATTGGAAAAGCTTGGCACCAAATAAGTCATATTGAAAAAAGAATAAAATGTGTGAAATTTTTTAAATTTAATTTTCTATTTATGAAACATACCACGGGTTAAAAAGTAATGATGCTAGAACCTTGGTATTCATAGGGTATTATAAATATATGTATGGATAGTTATTCATGAAGTTTGGAATCAATAAAGTGTATCACAAAATAATTTACAATTAATACTTCCAATGATAAATTCTTACAAAAAAGTGACGGTTTTCAAAGTCAAAAAATCATGTCTGATCTTTTTGCTACAAAATTTACTTATCAAGAAATTGAGATGCTGTTTGACCACGCACATTTTACTTCAAATGAATTTATGGCACTTCTTGAGCAATGTTCTTCTTCAGAAAATGCTCAAATGTTTTCTTACTTAGCTTTAAATGCAAATGTTTCAATTAGCAATCTACAAGAAGCTTCTTCAATTTTGAAATCAATGCAAAAATGTAATAGATCACGATTTTTTGATATAATAATTAAAATATTAGATCAAACTAACAATGAAATGTCAATCCTTCAGGATACTATCAACAACCTTCACTCAGACTTGGATAATATTCTGGATCAAAAGCACGAATATAACAAGGAAAGAGATAAATTCATTTTAAAAATTGGAAAATATAAAAAATCTAAAGATGCGAGGAGTATATATCAATTGCTAGATAAATTATACACAAAAGGATACCAAGATTTATTTTTAATGGCTTGTGAAAAAGATTTACGTAATAAAAATTTTGGATATTTTTTCCCGTTCTCGGATATGCAATTAGGGAAGGAAACTTTAATGTTGTTAAATCCCTTGTGGAAAATGGTTACAATACAATGCAGTCAAGTGTTTCTGAATATCCACTTCATTGTGCCTCCCAATCTGGTAATCTTGATTTTGTCAAATATTTTATATCTATTGGAAATGACATCGAAGCAAAGCAATGGGACGGATCCACTCCTCTGCTTGAAGCAATAAAGAGTAACAGACTTGAAGTTGTTAAATATCTTATCTCTATTGGAGCTGACATAAAAGTAAAGGATAAAGATGGAAATACTCCACTCATTCTTGCATCAGAAAATGGTCATCTTGAAGTTGTGAAATATCTTATCTCTATTGGAGCTAATAAAGAAGCTAAGGATAAATTTGGAAATACTCCACTTATTTCTGCGTCAAGATATTGTAAACTTGAAGTTGTTAAATATCTAACCTCTGTAGGGGCTAATATTGAAGCAAAGGATAACAATGGAACTACTCCACTCATTCATGCATCATTAAGACATGAATGTGATATTGCCAGATTCCTTATATCTGTCGGAGCCAATAAAAATGCAATAGATAATGATGGAAGAACAGTATCTGAATACATGAAATCAATCGATACAAGCGATTAAAATCAAAATAAAAGAAATTCATATATTTTAAAAAAAAAAAAAAAAAAAAAAAGGGAGTGGGGCTTCCAGGCACTTCGTGCCTTCTAGCCCTGAAGATGTTTAGTATAAATGAAGTCTTAGAGGACAAACATGACTATGAGTTTTGATATGACAAGATAGAATATGAGAGAGGTCCTATAAACCGGAGAAAGTGTTATATAAACATCTGTCATATTACTCAGAATATTATACAGAATTCAATAAAAATATATTTTAGGTGAAGAGGTGAGATTTCACCTGTTTTTTCACCTCATTTTTCACCTCTTGAATTTTCATGAATTTCATCGTAAAGACTTTGTCAAGATTTCATCGTAAAGACTTTGTCAAGATTTCATCGTAAAGACTTTGTCAAGATTTCATCGTAAAGACTTTGTTGAGATTTCATCGTAAAGACTTTGTTGAGATTTCATCGTAAAGACTTTGTCAAAACTTCATCGTAATGAGCGTAAATCAGACAAAAATATATTTTAGGGTAGAAGGGTATATCTACCCCGTTTTCTACCCTCTTTTCTACCCCATATGTACTTACTGAAAAAGTATGTGTTCCATCTGTCATTTTACTCAGAATTTTACACCAAAAATAATGTTTAGGTGAAGAGGTGAGATTTCACCTCTTTTTTCACCTCTTTTTTCACCTCTTTTTTCACCTCATGAATTTTCATGAAATTTACACCAAAAATAATGTTTAGGTGAAGAGGTGAGATTTCACCTCTTTTTTCACCTCTTTTTTCACCTCATGAATTTTCATGAAATTTACACCAAAAATATACTACTAGGGTCATTTACGAAGAAATCTCAACAAAGTCTTTACGATGAAATCTTGACAAAACATAGACAAGAAAGTTCATGAGAAATTAGATGAAGAAGTTTTGACAAAACATTTACGAAGAAATTCATGAAAATTCATGAGGTGAAAAAAGAGGTGAAAAAAGAGGTGAAATCTCACCTCTTCACCTAAAATATATTTTTGGGTCATTTACACTCATTTACGAAGAAATCTCAACAAAGTCTTTACGAAGAAGTCATAATAAAACGTCTGTCAAAAGCCGCTTTTCTGTCACTTTTCAGGTAAAAACATTTTTATTATATATATAAAATGAATTTTACAAAACCACCGTTACCCTTCTTTGGAAATAAGAGTAAATGTAAAGATATTATATTGAGAGAACTTAAGAAACTACCGAATGGTCTAACATTTGTAGATTTGTTCGGTGGAAGTTTCTATATATCCCATTTGTGCCATATAATATTCCCAGACTCAAAGATTATATGCAATGACTTCGACAACTATATGAACCGTCTCAAACATATACCAGACACAAACAAAATATTGAAAGAGTTAAAAGAAAAGATACCTATAGGTAAGATGGAACGTATACCATTAGATAACAAAAATATTGTAAGAGAGGTTTTGAAAAAAGCAGAATATATAGACTGGGATAGTATATCTGCTAGACTATTATATAGTGGTGCTATAAGAGTTCATGACATTGAAACACTTATGTCAAAAGTTTTATATCTTAACTATACAAATGTTTTCAAAGAGGACATAGAAAAATATATTGAGGGTATAGAGTTTGTGAGATGTCGTTGGACAGAGTTGTATGAAAAATATAAAGACAAGGAAAAGGTTTTCTTTATAGTAGACCCACCGTTCTTTAACACATATGATTTTCAATACCAAGTAGACTGGACTTTGAGAGACTCTTTAGAAACTTTAGACGTTTTACATAACCATCCATGCTTTTACTTTACATCCGATAAAAGTGGTTTGGAAAGTGTCATGAGATGGTTAGAGGACATACATGACTATGAGTTTAGATACGATAAGATAGAATATGAGAGAGGTCCTATAAACTGGAGAAAGTGTCATAACAAAGAAATTTTACTAGTAAGTAAATGTGGTTTGAAATAGGACTACTTGTTTTAGGTTTTTTCCATTGTGTCATTTACTTATTTGACGTGGCAGAAAGATATAGAGAATATGAAGATGAACCAATGCCTGCAAATGTTCAGTATATGTACTCGTAAGAGATATTTTTATCTAATATTAAATGGACGCACAGAACTTAGCGAATGCACAGCAACCTGGACAACCAAACCCAGAGAATATTCCAAATGAAGTTAGAATACAAACTGCAATGGCAAACTATGGTCAAGTGCCAACAGATGTACAAATGCAAACTGCCATGTCAAATGACGCTGCGTTAGGCTTACCACCATGGTATGCAAATATGAGATGGAAAGAGTTTTATACAAACCCTGAAGTGGGATATAAACAACTCTATGCAGATGACGCGAACACAGGAGTTGACCCAGAATATGTTTTCTACCAGAGGAGAAACAGAATGTATGAGCTCCAGTTAAAGAATGCTATGGAACTCAACAGGAAACGTAAGAGACTAGGCGGACATTAGATTTTTACATATAGTAAAATGGGTTTCTTCAGTAAGATAGGAAACTTCTTTCGAAATGTTGGAAGAGGTATATGGAATGGAATAAAATCTGTCGGAAGAGGAGTATGGAACGGTGTCAAAAATATTGGTAAAAGAGTAGGTCAGTTCGTTGGTATTATACCTAAAGACCCTGAACCAGAAGAACAAGCTCCTGTTATACAACAGCCTGAACCTGCACCACAGTCAAGTTGGCAACCAAATCCAACACCTCAACCGTATTAAAATTATATTTTTACCGTTCGATAGTAGTTGTATATGAAACTAAGTTCTAAGTAAAACGCGTGGTATAATGGAATTATTCTCTTTCTTCCATCTGTAGTAAACCATACTTGAAAGTCTGAAATACTTCCACTTGGTGGTTCATATAGCTTTGTAGGTTTTTCGTAAAAGTCATTTGCCAAGCATAAGAAAGAGTTTTGGGCGCCAGAAAATGAAGCATGAACAATAATAGCAGCTGGGTCGAAAACATCTTTAAATAAATATGGTTCATCTCTTGCATATCGACTGTAAATATTTGCTAAAGGAAGTTCGACTTTCTGATTTAACATTCTTTGCAAATAATACCATGACATTGCAGTGAATTCTGTATATATTTGTTCGTCTTTCTTTGGATTGTCTTCGTAGATTTGAAATGACACTTGTGAATTTTGTTTGTCATATACAATTCTCACATAAAGTGTGCTCTCGGTATTTGCATATTCATCAGCATATTTTGCATAACATGAATTTATTTTATCTTCTATATTTTTTAACGCAGTCTGTAGAGAAGATGAAAGGTCAACTTGTATTAGCTCAATTTCTTCCCACATTTTTCGTTTCCCTTCAGATATATAATCTATATGAAACCTTACAATAAATGGAAAACTTTTATCTTCTACAGACACAAACTTCATTCTACGAAAGCCAATAGCTTTTGTGACAGATGGGTCTCTTAGCCATCTCAATGGGTAGTCAAAACGATAGCCTTCATGCTTTACGGTCTCTGTCTCAAACTTTTGACCGACATTAGTAAAAAGTTCATCTAATGGTTTAGTTGTAGCAACTCTTGAATTTTCTTTTTCTATTGAAAGCATATTTTATCTAGAATAAAAATGTCGAAAGAAACAGCGTCTATGAGAGAAATACAACACAACCGACAACTCATTTTGCAAGCTCTAAATAAGAACACAACAAACTTTTCAAACTATTCTAAGATATCTGAGTCATTGAAAGAAGGAAACTTAAAACTGACGATAAACCCAATGACAGACGAGTTTCTGTTTCAAGACAGTAAGAACCATACTGTTTGTATAAATCCAACAAAAAGAACTTTAAACGAGAAACCTATAGATGAACTTCTTTTGAAAGCAGATGTTGACAACAAAGCTGACAAAGAGTATGTCATTGAAAAAGTTCAAGAAGAACATGACAGAGCAGATGCAACATATGCAACAAAAGAACATACTCATCCTGAACTAGCAGACAAAACATATGTTGACAATAAAATGTCAAGTGAAGTGACAAGAGCTGAAAACGAATATTCTAAAAAGACTCATACACATACCATTGCAAATATTACAAACTTACAAGAAACCTTAAACAGGAAAAGTGACGTTGGACATACACACGATTTCTTCGCAACTGTTGGTATAGAAAATATTGCAGGAACGGTTGAAGAACCTGATGGAACTGGTGGGGATGTATTAAATTGGAAACCTCCTAACTTTCCACAAGGTTTAACATCGGAGGATGACATAACAACGATGAAAGACATTAAATGTAGAAATGTCTATGTCATGGAGGATGAAAACAAAGTTAAATTCACTGCTCAAGATTTATATGATAAAAAAGCTGACAAAACATATGTTAACGATGAGTTAGATAAAAAAGCTGACAAAACATATGTTAACGATGAGTTATATAAAAAAGCTGACAAAACAGAGCTTCAAACGTTAAAGACAGAAATACTTCAAACAGTATATCCTATAGGTTCTATTTATACGTCAATGAACTCTACCAAACCAGAAGTAGTACTTGGTTTTGGAACTTGGACTCAAATAGTCGACAGGTTTTTGTATTGTGCAAACTCTTCAAAGGAAACAGGTGGAAGTAAAACGATTTCAGGTGCAAATTTACCTGCGCACAGTCACTACGTAAGTTTAACTACATCTGAAGCAGGTTTGCATAGTCATAGATTTTGGGATTGGTCAGGAATGACAAAAGGTAAAGGATATGATGTTAAAGAGGACGTTAAGTTTGCTATAAATTGTTACTGGAGTAACACTGAGGTAGGAGGAAGCCATACACATCGCGTTTCAGGCTATACGCAAACAACGGGACAGAGTAAAGACTACATGCCACCTTACATGACAGTTTACGCATGGTATAGAAATGCTTAGTCGTCATTTTCAACTTCTTTAGCATATTCGTCAGGAGTTGTCTTATATTTGTTAGGAACTGTCTTTGAAAGTATACCACCTTGAACTTTGACAAGTTTGAAACGAGGTCTGACAATAGTAGTTTTATCTTCTGCTTGCAGTGTGTACATTTTGCCATGTTTGCCTAAAACTTCATAATATTCTCTTGTATACTTTCTTCTATTTTTACGAACACGAATGTGAGTACCTGTCGAGTTCCCATTGTTGTCATAGTCAATAGTATTTTCATATGGGTCGCGTTTAGGTATTTCTATTTTTACTTTGTCACCTTTCTTAAGTTTGAAGCCTGGCATTCTTTCTTGTTTGTCTCTTTTGACTAAACTATTAAATATATAGTCTTTCTCTAAGTCGGGGTTGTTTTTCATTTCTTCGGGGGAGTGGTTTCCCAAACCTTTTTGTTTACGGTTATTGTAAATATTTAAAACTTGTCTCATCTTTGCCATGGAAAAGTGTCTATACTTGTCGTCATATGACATTTCATCTACCTCACCACCTTGTGGTTGGTTTAAGTCTCTTAACATTTTTATACAACCGTCAATGACACCAAGAGCAGAATGGTTTTGGTCGACAATGAAATATTGGTTTACATTTTTTGAACGCAGATAGTTTTTAATATCGTCTGATTTGAAAGAACTTTCACAGTCAGATGTCAGTTTTGTTGGATGGTATTTGTCAACGAATATTGTCAAAGCAGTTTTCACATCTAAAATATTTTTGGACTGCAATGGTATGGCTTCACAGTATCTTGTGTTTTGACCAACAAATATTAGCCAGTATGGTGGTCCATCTGTTCTAACTCTCGGAATGTTTTCCAAGATATCCATAAACCAAGCATTTGGTGTTGAACTAAAGATTTTTATCATGAGTGCTTTCTTTGTTGCCTTAGAAACATAGGGGTCCTTGTTTGGATTCGTCATTTTTTAACCATAAGAAATGGGTTTATTTGGCGCATTAGCAGGAGTTGCATCCAGATTTTTGCCCGCAGTGGGAACAATAGCCAGAGGTGTATTTGGAGTTGGAAGGAAGATTTTGAGTACATTAGGTATACTTTAAAGAGAAAGCAAACCTATTATACAAACTGTACAGAAAGGTTGGGATGTAGCACGAGATGCAGCAAATCTTATTCCAAATCCTGAAACAGAGGAAAAGTTCAAGGATGGATGGACAATGTAGGAAGAGAAGCAGGAAACTATTATAACAAAGCAAATGACTACTATAACCAAGCAGGACACTATATGGACCAGGTGAAAGATTCTTTAACAGAGGATATAACCATGCACACAGTGGGTAAACAATAACCAACCGCAACGCTCAAACGTGGGGAATGTAAAATTTTTTACTGAGATGAAATGAACAATACAGCATTGAGACAAATGGGCTCAAGATGGATTTGTCGACTTCCAGCAGTTACACAACGTGTTTGTCAAGTTCTTCCTATACCTCAGGAAGTTTTAGACCGACTTAAAAAACAACAACAACCAGTTGAAAACAAACCAAACTAAAATTTTTTACTGAGATGAAATGACCGAAGAAGTTGAAACGGTAGATTTGACACCACAAACAAAAAGTTCAGAACCATTGTCAAAACCTGTCAAAGAACTTACAGATGAAGAGAAAAATTCAATAATAGAAAGTGCCAGGTCTGGAAATACAAACCCTAACTATAAAGTCACTTTTCATAGAAATGGAACGGCTAGTATCTCAAAAAAGAAACAGACTCTCACAAATAAAATATTGAAGTCTGAAGGAGCTTTCGAGACAACAGATGGAAAAGTTTACTTCACCGACCAACAGTTCATTATAGAACATCTCATTGACTTAGAGTCGAAATATTCTAAACTTTACAACAAACACAAAAAGTTGAAAGGAAAACAAAAACAAATGGCATATGATATTTATGAAGATGTTGACGACACAACCATACCTGCAAGTGAGGTAAAGTCAGAGGAACCGAAAAGTGACGAAAAACCAATAGAAGAAGGGAAGCCAAAAACTGAAGATAAACCAAAACCAAAGGTTAGTTTCAATACTAAACCAAGTCAACCTTCATTAGCTGGTATGGGTTGGCGTCAAAGACTTTTGGCAGCGGGTGGTTATGTAAAGTAAAGAAAAAAATATTTTTTTATTTTTATAGAAATGCCCCCATATAGAATGGACAGAAAATCTGCTAGAATAAAAGCAGAGTTAGAAAGATATGGTTGGAGAGTTTCGAAGAAGTTTAAATATAGGAAGGGAAGACCCATAAAAGTCTATGACAAACTGGCTGGTCTGACCTACGAAATGGACTTGGAAACAGCGCGCGCCAATTATCCAAACAGACTAGAAAGGTTAGAAGAAGAACGTCTTATGGACATGCCTTTCGATGTTTCTGAACCTCAAGTTGAAGGACACGACGGCTTTGCCAGATTCTACTGGAAACACGACGAACAATTGCATCCTTTGAGAAGGAAAAAAGGAAAAGGTGAAGACACACATGCTCCCATGGAAAGAACAAGATATGCATATGAGAAGTACCGTGAAGTTAGAAGTCAAATTACATCTGGTCGAACCTTTACAGTAAACTTTGACGAAGGAAAGAACAAAGAAGGCTTCATGGGAGTACTTGCTGCAATTCAAGATGGAAATAAGAAAGGACACAATCTCAGATTGACTATAACAGATTTGGACGGTCACATTTACTATGCACATGGCAATGTCACAACAGCCGCACAACTTCTTGACGCTTTCAAGACTACAAAGAGAGAACAAATGTTTGACTCCGACTCAGACATTTTGAATGCAATTGAAGGAATTGCAAGTGTAAAATTTGAATGGTACCAACCTAACCCTCAAGCAGTCAGACAACATGTTTGTTAGATGAGAAATATGAAATGGCATACCATTTTAAAACAATATATTTTTACATATATTAAATGTTTCAGGTTGAAAAACAAAGAACAAAAGTAGCAGATACAAAACAAACATTTTATGAGCTTACAAAGGGTGTTATGAATGAATTCAGCAACATACATCCTGACCTCGTTCATTTTGTTGCTAAATTCAGTAAAAATATATGTTAGGTGAAGAGGTGAGATTTCACCTCTTTTTTCACCTGTTTTTTCACCCTCATGAATTTTCATGAATTTTGTGCTGAATTCGACAAAAATGAGTTTTTGGTTGAAAAAAGAGGTGGAGCCAAAAGTGGCTCGACCTCAAAACAAGCATTTTGTGAAGAATATACCAACCCGCGGAAAACAGCGGGTTGCTTTTTATACAAAATTCAACAGGTGAATTTTCATGAATTTCCTTAAGATAGAAAAAAATATATTTTAGGCGACCAGGTCACTCGGTCACTCGGTCACTCGGTCAACTAACATCTTTTTGAAAAAGTGTGACAACATGACATTTTGACAACAACACAGGAAATAGATTTCATCGTATATTTTTTGTTAAGACTTCATCGTAAATGTTTTGTTGAGACTTCATCGTATATGTTTTGTCGAGATTTTTATCGTTGTGGTCCGACGGTTAAGCCACAAACGAATGTCCGACGTCCCACCAAAAAATATTTTTTATTTTTATTGTACGTACTGAATGACAGTCGAAGCAAAAACGTTCACGAACAAATCTAATGGCGAAACATTCACAAAAGGCACTTACAACGGTATTGAAGTCTTACGTAGAGACAAGGATGGTTATATAAATGTAACAAATATGTGTCAGCAGTTTAGGAAAGACTTTAGAAAGTTGTTGGAAAATAAGTCCTGGGAAGAGTATTATACGGCATTTTGTGAAGAATATACCAACCGCCGGAATTCCGGCGGTTGCTTTTTATACAAAGTTCATGCAGGAATTCCTGATGAAATCAAACAGGTTAGAGGAACGTATGTAGACCCAAGACTTGTAAACTATATAGCAATGTGGGCTTCTCCAAAATATTGCATAGCAGTTGGAAAAATTATGGACTCCATAGACAAGAAAGTTCATGAGAAGTTAGATGAAGAAGAATTCGAAGATACAGTAGAGAATGCTAAACCTTTGTTCGAACAAGAAGTTAGAAAAATGCATGAAAAACAAATAGAACATGAACGTGAGATATGTTCTGGTTATAGAGACTCGCCATACGAACTAGACCAATGGGAACAAGAAGATTTAAAGAGAGAATTTAGAGAATATGAACTCGCTAAGATAGCATTAGAAGCTGCAGAAGAGAGGTTAAAAGCTTGGGGTTGTTTTGTACAAAAATATTGTGAGTAAATGAACCATTTTTTTCGACAAAAATATATTTTAGGTGAAGAGGTGAGATTTCACCTCTTTTTTCACCTGTTTTTTCACCCTCTTGAATTTTCATGAATTTCCTTAAGATAAAAAATATATTTTAGTTTTTTATAAAATATTTTTTTTTATTTTTATTGTAAGAACATGTTAGCAACAACAGCACCAAACTCTTTAGTCATGAACCCAACTTCAATGTTAGTAGAGATGAAAAGCTTCATTCCTTCTTCATATACTTTCGAAACAGAAATCCAGAAGATAAAGCAAGAACTTCTCCAAGGAGATTTAGATTGCACTGCAAAAGATGAAACAAATGAAGAATATCTTTATGAAATGCAGGATATTATTGACCATCTACCTAAACTTCCTGAAATCCAACAACAAAAACTAACCATTCCCGAATTTGACGAAATAGAAGTCAAAGCAACTGACTCAGTAGAAACCAAGAAGTTCATACGAAAGGTTAACTATGAGTTTCTTGGATTTCATTGCAACCACAAAGTCATGGACAAAGATTGCGATATGGTATATAAGAACATCTCTGACATATACAAATCCGAAGAATTTAAGACCTACGACAACTTTGTTTCATTAGTTGCAAAATGTGTTTGGGAAATAAGAGATAAAGATAGAAGAGGTAAGGTATGGAACGAACAAATAAGACCCGCTATGTTCGAGATGAAGAGAGCAATTGACGCCTTAGTTGTTTTAGCAGGTAAGGTTTCAGAATATAACGCAAAAATGAACCCGCAATGTTCAAAATGTAAAGCAGCAATGAGGAAATATAACTACTCCGTCAAAGAGATAGAACGTATGCGAAACGACTATGCTGACTTAAAGAAAGAAGTAGAGAAACCAGCAGAAGATAAAATGGATATGTTGACATTTCTTAATAAAAACTATCCAACAGCAGAAGATTTCCTTCTATCTGACGTCAAGAAGAAGTATAAAGAAACTTTCGGTATCGTTAAAACATTCGATGTACTGACAGAAGAAATAGAAGCTACGAAATTGTTTAGGATTTCAAATATACATCATACAATTCATGTAAAACGCTTATAAAATAACTGAGGTGAAAAAAGAGGTGAAAAAAGAGGTGAAATCTCACCTCTTCACCTAAAATATATTTTTATTGAATTCAGCAACAAAATTCTGAGTAAAATAATTTTTAGGGCTTGTGTCAAACCGTTGAGTTTTCACAAAATTTAAAAAATAACGTTTACCATGTAAAACGCTTATAAAATAACTGAGGTGAAAAAACAGGTGAAAAAACAGGTGAAAAAAGAGGTGAAATCTCACCTCTTCACCTAAAATATATTTTTGCTGAATTCCGTATGAAATTTCATGAATTTCCTCTAGATAGAAAAAATAAAGTTAGTTTTTTATAAAATATTTTTTTTATTTTGTATGTAAAGACAGAAATGACAACAACAGAGAACACAACAACTGCTATCGTTCATGAAGCCATAGATGAAGAATACGAGTACATACAGTTTAACAAACAACTCCGTCTCATTCGTTCGGTCAAAGATGACATGTACCAAATGCAAAGTATTTTGACAGCATGTGCTACACCAGATACTAAGAAACCACAAGACTGGTTTGAATTAAATAGCACTCATGAACTTTTGAGTGAGTTCGAACATGTAGAACTTAAAAAGATGTACCAAGACAGACAAAACTTACCATCGCATCTAAAAGGTATATATGTTCATAAGTTCCTAGTTAGTTCAATAGCAATGTGGGCTTCACCTCGCTATGCTTGGTATATTTACAGACTTCTTGACGAAGTTGCTGAAAAATACATGTAAAGCGTTTATTTTTGGTCTTTTGTGAAAGTAAGAAAATAACGCTAATTTTATTTTTATTTATTTTTTTATTTTGTATGTAAAGACAGATATGTCAACAACAGAGAACACAACACCTGCTATCGTTCATGAAGCCATAAATGAAGAATACGAGTACATACAATATAACAAACAGTTACGTCTCATTCGTTCGGTCAAAGATGACATGTACCAAATGCAAAGTATTTTGAATACTCTTCGTTCTACAAAGCAAGCACGTCATTGGTTTGAAAACCAACAGACAAAAGAACTTTTAGAAGAATTTCCTCATATGTTTGCGAGTGGTAGAAAACCGCGGAACGAGATTCCGTACGAAAATCGTAAAAATTTGCCAAATAGTTTGAGAGGTTGGTATGTACATAGACTTCTTGTAAATGCTGTTGCAATGTGGGCTTCACCTCGCTATGCTTGTTATATTTTCATGATGTTAGATGAAATTCACAGACAAGAACGTGAAGAGCTAGAGAACAAGCTTGAAGCAAAAGACAAAAACATACAGAAAAGAATACCACGTTCGGTACCAAAAGGAAAGGAAAAGAACTATAAGTATATGATTTATACTGAAGAGATGGAAAATGAAGAAGACAGAGATATGGTTATGTTGCATTTAGTCAGAAGAAACAACAAAAGCTTTTACGACCTTGCTAAGATTTACAAATCTGACAGAAATTGGTTCTATCGCGAAAACTTACCGATTTCAATGACACCGAATGAAGATGTGAAACAAATAGTTCAAGATACGTTACCTCAAACACACTATGATATGAAAGGTTGTACAATACTTACCTTCAAAGAAGATTTGCCATTGTTAAAGGAAAAAATAACAGAGTATTTTGACAACTTCAAACAAGTAGAGTAGATGAACCATTTATTTTTACGCTTGACACCAAAGATGGCTCAGGTAGCTCTATAAGTTAAATTGCCTCGTCAAATCCTTCTGGCATTCCGAGTCCTTCCATCAGACAGGAAGAACTCTTCCTTCCAACAGGAAAAAAATTTCCCGACAACTGGAAGAACTCTTCCTTCCAACTGGAAAAATTTTTCCATCCGACAGGAAAAATTTTTCCATCAGACAGGAAAAAATTTTCCATCAGACAGGAAAAAATTTTCCAGTTGTCCGTCCGTAAACCATTCAAATTTTCGAAAATTGAGAACTTTTTGGTCGAACTTCAGGAAAAATTTTTCCATCAGACAGGAAAAAATTTTCCATCCGACAGGAAAAATTTTTCCATCAGACAGGAAGAACTCTTCCCGACAACAGGAAGAACTCTTCCTTCCAACAGGAAAAGTTCTTCCTTCCGACAGGACACAAACAGATGACTGACGTTCCTCTTCCTGAATGCCTTCCAAAGCCAGAAGAACCGAAAGCTGCAGAACCACAACAGACTTACTAAGACTAAACATTTATATTTTCAAGCTTGACTTTTTACAATTTGAACTTTGTTTGCGTAGATATGAATTCTGAAAGAAGTATGAGGGTCTTGTATAACTTTGTACTTCTCCCATAGTTCATGTCTGTCAAACTTACCTGCCATGGACTCTTTCATAAGTTCCATGAAATCGTCTTCGGACAATCCAGGGAAAAGTATGATATCAGTAAGTATTCTTTTAACATCCTTACTTAAACTCTTTGCTGTCTGTACACAAATGACAACTGAGATGTTAAAGTGTCTGAGCTTCTTAAGAATTCGACACATGTCTTGTTCTCTATTCTTTAACAAAGGATGAGAAGCAAATCATCTAAGATAAGAAGAC